AGAGAAGAGAACAAACGAACAGGGAGAAAACAGGAGGAGAAAGAGACAAGAAAAAGAGAAAGAAAAAGAAAGAGGAAAGAAAGGAGCAGAAAAGGACACGCAAGAGAAAACGGGGAAGAAGGGGCAGAAGCCGCGAGGGGCGAGGGGGCGAGGGGTGGCGGAGGGGCGGAGACGGGCCGGAGACGGGCCGGAGGAGGGGCGGAGGAGGGGCGGAGGAGGGGCGGAGGAGGGGCGGAGGAGGGGCGAGGGTCCGATGGTGCGCTGAGCCTGCAGCACGGTCTCGAGGCGCGAGACGAGAGTGGCCCATGACTCTGGCTTGACGGCGGCGGCGGGGTCGGCGAAGGCGGCCTGCAGCCCCCAGAAGGAGGCGTACAGCGACCCGTCCTCCGCCGCGCTCCCCTCCTGCTTGTCGTCTGCCGCCTCGTCGGGCTGGAGCTCGAGGTCGGAGGGGGCCATCGCGCCCTTGAGGTTGACACCGGAGCGCTCCGAGAGCGGGAGCATGTACGCCATGAGCAGCAGCACGCGCCCGCAAAAGTTGGTGTTCTTCGACTTTGAGAGCCGGCGGAGCAGCTCGTTGCAGGTGCGGATGAAGGTCAGCTTGGCGCGGTTGTTGGTCGAGCGCATCAGCTTGGCGAGCGCCGCGCCGCGCTGCTCGATCTGCGGGAAGAGCGCCTCCGATTCGGAGATGACCTGCGAGTCGAAGAGGTCCTCCATCAACGCGAACGGCGTGTTCAGGTCCGCCGCCCTCGCCGTCGCCAGCTCAATCGACCGGTCGATCAGCGCGACGACCAGCGCGCCGGCCGCGCCGGCGCTCGACTTACGCTCGAGGAAGATGCGCATCGACAGCTCGAGCGTGCCCCGCTCCTCCGCGTCGAGCGGCTCCGCCTTGGCCGCCGCGCCGTTGGCCCCCTCTGCGCCGCTCGTCGCCGCCTCGCCGCTGCTTGCGCCCGCGCCCCTGACGGCGGCGACAACGCTGTCGACAAAGGCGGCGCCCGCCAGCCCGTCGGCCCGCACGCCCTCCTCTAGGACTGAGGCGAGGCGCGACTGCGCGGCGGCGAAGTTGTCACCCGACATGGGCTCGCTAAGCGGGCGCTTACTTTTCTTTGTCTTTTTTGCCTTCCGAAGGCTTGCGTAAAAGAGTTCGCGGGTGGCAGAGCAATCACCCTACCACACACGCTCAGCTCCTCAGCCGACACCATGACACCCTGCTCGTTCTCAGCGCAGCGCTCTTGCATTCACACCCGCACAGCACCCTGAGAGGTATTTTTATGTTCCCCCACCCGGGTGGGGGAATTTTATATTTAGCAATATGAGCCGCCGTCCCCACTCGAACTCGAGTCCGCCGACCGCTATAGGTCGAGCGGGGAGGGAGGCGCTGCCTCCGCGGCGGGGACGGAGGCGACACCTCCGTCCCCACCGCCATTGGTTCGAGCGGCAAGCCTTAGGTAGAGCGGGGACGGAGACGTGGAAAAGCGTGCTTGTGAGTGGAAGCCACAAGCGCGCTGGCTCCGGTCGTTCGTAAATGAGGGTGTTTTTCTGTGTGTGTGTTTTCTTGAAGCCTTTCTTAAACTGGGTAACGAACCCCTGTCACTCCGTGAAGTGAACAGAAGAGAGGTGTGAACAGACTGGCGTGCTGATCGTGAAGAGGCGCCATGTCATCGGACACCGAGAGCACGGTCTGCGACCCGCGGTTAGAGGTCGCACCCGAGCCGCAAGTCCCCAAGGGGCCGGGCCAGATAAGGCGCGTGCCCCAGCTGTTCACAGCAACAGCACGGTCTACCCCCGTCGTCCCACCCCAAGTGCAGCAGACACCCGAGCAGGCTCGCAAGCTCGAGCTTTCTGCAGCAGAAATCTACGAGGCGCAACAGCCGTGTGTGAAAGCCGACGCATCACCGCCAACACACACCGGCGCCTTGTACCCGAAACCGAACCGTCGTCACCGCCACACACACCTGCGCCTTGTACCGGTGGCGTAGGTGACACCCACGCCGATGCTCGATCGGTCGCAGAACCCGTCCGGCTCCCGCCTGTGGTGGATGACCTGCTTTGGCTACTGGCTGTTCGGCTCCTTCGGCCTCTTCTTCTCGCTCAAGGAGTGGCTCGATCCCGCCTTCTCCGACTGGCTCGCGCCCGGGCCCGGCTCGCCGCTGCTGGGCGACTCTGGCCGCATGCTCGTGTTCGAAGCGGGGCCGGCCGGCGTCCAGTCCAAGCTGCTCGGCGTGCAGGCCAACCTCCTCGAGGGCGTGCTGCTCGACGTCGGCGCGCTCTCCCTCCTCTCGTGCTGGTTCGAGTCGCGCCGCATGCAGCTGCTCACCGCCTACGCGGCGCCCGTCTCGGCCGCCTACTTTTTGCTCAACATCTTTTACTTCCAGCTCACCGGCGCGCCCGAGATGGTGCCCGCGATGCTGCTGCTCGGCGCGCCTCCGATCCTGCTCTCGCTGCTGCGGCTGAAGATCTTCCTGCGGGACGAGGCGGCGCTCGCAACCTACGCCGCCTACCTCGCGGCGATCGGCGCGGCCGTGCTCGGAGGCGGCCTCCTGCTGCAGCAGCGCGCCGAGGCGCACCGCGCCGACATCCACCTCTTCGTGGCGGTGCGCGACCATTTCACATCGAACGGCTTCACGTGGACGGCGGGGCTCGACTACCCCGACGGGTTCAAGCCGCCGCGCGCCAGTGGCTGGCTCGGTCTCTTCTGAGCGTCTCGTTGCGCGTCAGTGTCCGTGCGCCGCAGCCTCCCTCCTGGGCTGACCGCCCCGCGGCCGCCGAAACGGGAGCGAACCAACGACATCAACGCGGGTGGAAGAGAAATAGAGAACGAGAAGGAGCTCTCGTAGTACAATGTAGTAGCATCGGCGCATGGCCGGCATGCACTTGGAAAGAAAGAATTTAACAAAATCAACTCTCTGTCTCACAGCAGTGAGCAGACAGGCTCGAAAGAAAACAGACAACCCAAGGGAGGGATGGGAGGACGGCGCACGCCGCCCCCACCACACTTTGACACACACAAAAGGGTTTGAGTGTGCTGTGTGGTGCTAGCCGTCGCCCAGAAAGAAAGAAAGAAAACAGACAAATCCAAACGAGGGATGGGGGAGGAGGACAGGGTCCACACCTGCACGAGCAGGATTTTTGAAGGACGATCCAGGTGGGTGGGGCTCTCCTGCTCCTGACAAGGGACACGACAGGCTCGCAGCGCGGTGCACGGTGGACTCCCAACTCCACTGCGCACTGGCGGTCTCATCTCAGTCTAGCGACCTGCCTCCAGCTTCTCACCGTCGCCCACACTCGGCATGCAGTTGAGTGTTTTTTTTCAGCGGCGGAGGGGGGGTCGAGCCGAGGACGATAGAGAGACCGCGGATGCAGGCGCGATTCGTCGACCAAGGAGAGCCGGCAATCACCGGAGGGAGGACCGAAACCTCGCCCAAAAAAAAGTTTTCTCGTCGCGTCGGCCGTCCAAGCCGGCGTCTTGCGGCCTCGTGCAAGTCAGATGCGGCTGACGTCTCTCAAGGGTGTCTTTGTCGGCTCCGGCTCAGAGGGCCTGCAGCAGCCCGAGGTGGTGACAGAGATCCTCTCTCTTGCCGGGAAGGCGCCCACGGAATTGAACGTGCTCTACATCGGGACTCCGACGTACGAAAAAGCACAGTCTCGCGAGAACCAGACCAAGCTCCTCGCCGCGGCGGGCTGCAGCGTGACTCACCTCAAGACGACGCTCGCGGGCGACTGCACCGCTGTCGAGATGGAGGAGGCGTGCGCGGCGGCGAACATCATCGTCGTTTCGGGCGGCAACACGCTATATGGCATCGACCGTTGGCGCGCGACCGGGCTCGACCGGCAGCTCAAGGCGGCAGGAGAGCGCGGCGCGCTGCTGTGCGGTGGAAGCGCTGGCGCGATCTGCTGGTTCGACGGCGGGCACTCGGACTCTGGCGACCCGGACACCTACATCAGCTCCGCCGCTGCCCCCGCCCCGGCCGGCGCCGACGAGGCGACGACGTTCGCAGAGGGCGGGGTGGCGGCGCAGTGGGATTACGTGCGCTGCCCGGGCCTGGGCTTCCTGCCCGGATTGTGCTGCCCTCACTTTGACAAGACGCAGTCCAACGGCGTGCTGCGCGCGCACGACTTTGACGAGATGATGCTGCGGCACCCAGGAGAGAGGGGCGTCTGCATCGACCACTTCGCCGCGCTCATCGTCGACGGAGCGCGCTACCGCGTCCTCTCGCTGCCCGGCAAGCCCGGCTCCGTCCTCGGGGGAGCCTTCAGCGAGGCGCGCGCGGGGTTGCCGGGCGTGTGGGTCAAGGAGGTGGCGGGGGGCGAGGTCAAGACGTGGCTTGCGCCGGCCGACGGCTCGCTGGACGAGCTGCTGCGCGAGCCAACGGCCGTGGTCGAGGACAGGAGGCTCGCAGCCATCCGAGCCGCTAACCCGTCGCCAAAGGAGCTGTGACCGGTGGTGACGGGGATCCGAGGCAGATCCGAGGCAGATCCGTGCCGTGCCGTCCCCACCGGCACCGCACACGGCCGGCCACCAACACTGGCGGGCCCTCTGCCTCTCACTCACCTGTCTCTGGTGTCTGGTCTCTCCTGCAGTTTTTGCGTTTCTCATTTTTCTGCTCTCCCACTTTTCGAAGTGCTAAGATGTGTCCCCGGTGTGCGCAGTCTCACGGCGCGCACAGCGGCCGCGCTCGCCCTCAGCCATCAGCCTCCACCGTTGGCGCCACATTGCGTGCACCTTCGCCTTGTCGAGATCCCCGGTGCTCGCATCCAGCAGAGAGCCGCACGCGTTGGTCATCGCCACAAAGCCGGCCGCCCCTCGCGTCTCTTGTCCATTGAGCCGCTCCACCTTGTTGAGCGGAGAGGAGTGCGAGCAGCGCGTCGAGGCGCCCACCTGCCGGCGCCGCATCTCCGGCCTCCTCTTTGGTCCGCCGAGCATCAGCTCGGCCAGCAGGCACTGGGTCTCGGCGCGCGAGGGGTCCTCGTCGGCGCCGCCGTCCACCTCAATCTGCATCACCGGCTTGTACCCGCCGTCGGACGAGCGAAAGAGCGCAACGCACCGCTCGTCGGTGTTCTCCTGCAGCATGTACAGGTCTGCGAAGTGCTGCGATGGGGAAGAGGGGTGCAGGCCGTCCACCTTGACGACGGCTATGTTGATCTCCCTCCCATCGGCCAGCGGCGCCGCGCGGATGCTGGTCACGTAGAGCGACGAGCAGACGCTCGGGTCGTTGTAGTCGTGCTGCACCGCGCCCATGCCCTCGCCGACGGTGGGGACCGCGTGCTGGTTGGTGGTGCTGCTCGAGTTCATGCGCACCTTCGAGTGGTCGTCGCGCTCGAACCACAGCCACTGAAGCTGCGAGACCAGGTCGCGCAGGTAGTGCGCGATCTGGTAGTGCGCGGCCGACTTGTGCTTGTCGATGTTCTCCTCGGAGACGCGCTTCACGTTCCTGCGGCAGGCGAGCGCCACCGCGTTCTTGTACCGCGCTGCCGACCGCTTGCGGCGGCTCTTGGCGATGCCCAGCTCCACCACCGCGCCGTATGAGATGTCGATGCCAAACCGGCTAGACAGCTCGAGCTGGATCCGCCTGAAGCCGGAGCCCTTCTTGAGCTTGCGCGCCTTGTCGCTCGTCAAGGTAGCGTCGCGCCGCCACGCATCCGCGCCGATGTCGTTCGCCGCGCAGATCTGCTCAATCTTCTCTCCGATGTCGGGATAGCGGCGCAGGATGGCGTCGACGCAAGGCGAGCGGCCGCGCTCGCCCGCCAGCGCGCGCAGCGCGCTCGAGACGGCGTCAGACTTGCGGGCGGTCGCGTTTGCCCTCCGGCGGTTGCGCGCGATGAGCTTGACAACCAGCTGCTGTGCGCCCAGCGCAGAGAGCCGCGCAAAGCTGGCGCAGTCGGAGTTGTCACTGTCCGAGGCAGCGCCATCGTCGATGCCAGCTGCGCGCGCCTCGCGCCGGAGCGACAGCGCAATCTCCTCGGCGTCATCGAGGAGAGAGGACTTGGTCGCGCCGGCGAGGAGCTCCTCCTCGCTCTCATCCCACGCCGAGGGATGGCTCCAAGCCTACCAAACAGAAACGAAAGGTTCGTTAACGCCCGTCGGGGGGGGGTGGGCGAGGCGGGACGGGCGTTAAGTGTGAACGGGGTGTGCGTTTACGTGAACGGGGTGATGTGACTACCACTAAGCGGCCGGATCAATCTCCCGTCGGAGCTATAAGGGGTGTTTGCGCTCCAGAAGTCGATGCCGCTCATGGCGTACTCGTCCCAATTGTCGCCAAGGATCGTCTTTGCGTCTGCGTCGGCCGCCGTGAGCGTCTCGAGGTTGGTGATCCCCATCGCCTCCAGCTCGGCGCGCACTCGCTCCACATCCTCAGCAGATGGGATCTCGGCCGCCCACGACGCGTCTGGCTCCTCCGGCCCAGTGGTGGCCGCCTCCAAGAGGTCCGTTGCGTCCTCCCCCTCGCCTGCTGCTGCCGCACCAGTGCCGAGCCCGTTGCCTGCAGCGGCGGCTCCCGAGTCGCCGCGCGCCTCGCCACCCTCAGCCTCAGCCGCGTACTTGCGCTCGTCTGCCTCCAGGCGCGCAACCTCGTCTGCAATGTCCTGCTCGGTGATCTGCCCGCAGCCGATGCGCGCGGTAATCTCGGACAAGGTCTGCAAGTTGGCGAGCTCGGCGCACACCTCGAAGGTCGCGAGCGCAGCCTCGATCTTCTCCTCCAGCTCTGCGCACGCCTCCCTCGACGGCGCGCGGTTCGTGCCCAGCAGCTCCCGGCGCGCGCGCGTGCCCTGGCCCTCCAGCACCGCCAGCTCCACCAGCTTGCGGTCGGAATCGGTCGAGCACAGCCGCTTGAGTGCCCGCAGGCGAGCCGTGCTGATCATCGGCCTCGAGCTCAGTTCGAGCGTGCTCAGCGCCGGCTCGACGGCTCCAACCATGCCGTCGAGCATCTTGTAGTTCACGTCCGGCTCCTTCGCCATGACGATCCAGCCGGTCTGCTCGCCGGTGCTGGTGCCGAGCCGCACGGCAACCGCCGGGATGTGCATCAACTGGTCGAGGATATTGCGGGCTTTCGTCACGCCCGAGGAGCCGCCTGCGTCCTTCCACAGCTGCCGCAGCGAGACGCGCGCGCCGCGCTTCTTGACAAGGATGGTGGCAGCGCGTATGAGGACGTTGCAGGCGCACACCGTCTTGTCGTTGTGCCCGCGCGCAGAGCACAAGTGCCGGGCCGCCATAATGTACTCCTCGAGTGTGATGCCCTCAATAGGCGAGACGCGGAGGCGGCCAATTTCGGTGCTCTCCTTCGCGAACGAGTCCTTGACGGCGAGCTGGTCCGCGAGCCGCTTCACCGTCTCGAGTTCGGACGTGGTCGCTGCCGGGATGTTTTCGGCACTGACCTCGGGCGTAGAGAGCTGCTCGAGGAGCGCGCCCTCTCCCGCCGATCGCCTCTTGTCGGTGGCGGCCTTCTTCCCCTTCGCCTGCAGCTGTCGTAGCTCCTCCTGCAGCGCGGTCTTCTCCACGCGCTTCTCCGACAGCGTGTTTATGACCGTGACGGCCGCTGCAGAGTTGTTGGCTGCAATGAACTCGTCCTTCTGCTTCGTAAGCGCAGAGATCATGTCGTCGATATCGCTCATCAGTTTCGGGATGAGCATAAGCCGAGCGTCGCGCTGGTTGGGCGTGATGGAGACAGCCGGTCGACGCGCCGGCCCGCCGGCCGCCTTTTCCGGTGCCGCTCGCTTTCCAGCTTCACCCTGGGCGCCGCCCGCGCGGCTGCCGTTCTTCTTGGCAAAGCCGAACCCCTCTGCTGCTATCGTACCCGCCGCTTTCTGGAGCTCCCCCACCTTGGGCCTCTTGCCCTCGAACCTAGGGCGAGAGTAGGGGCAGAGCGTGTGTGAGTCAGAGTCAGAGTATTTACGTGTACATGTGTCGGAAGTGACTGCGGTTTGGCGCACCGGACGAGCCAGGGCTGCTCGATGGCCAGTCTGCACGCCGCCTCGTTGAGCGCAATCTGCCAAGGTTGCAGCCCGAGGCTGCCGTTGTCTCGGCCATAGACCGGCCGATTCCCGCCGGGAGTGCCCGCGAGCCATTCCTTGACACGCTCCGCGTGCAGCCTCTTGCGCTGCTCCTCCGGCTCGGTGGCTCCGGGTGGCTGCGGCGCAGCGGGCGGTGCGCCGTCTTGCTGCGGCGACGACCCTGCCTGAGGCTGAGCCGGCGGTGGTGCGTAGAGCGGCTGCGTCCCTCCCTGCTCGTCGCCGACGAGCCAGCCGCTCTGGTGCGCCTTGGCGAAGTGCTTCATGTTGCGTGAAATCTTGAAGGCCTTCCAGTCCTCCATGCCCTTGTCAATGGCCAGCATCTCAAATGTCTTGCGGTCCTCTTGGTCGAATCGGCCGAACTCGTTCACATCGCCGTAGCCAATGCTAATCAGGAACTGGGAGTAGTTCCGGTCGGTTCCAAGGTTCAACGGTGCGAGGAAGGCTTCGAGCGTCTGCTGCGAGGCGTTCTGCGTGATGATCTGGTCCCAGTTGTCCATTGGTTCGGTTGTGTCGTCTGTGTATCTGTGTTTCGCGCGCGCGCCTAAGTTGACCACAAATCCCGCCTAAAAAATTGAAAAAAGCACGCTCGGAGTGCTCCGACGAAAGAGCTGAATGGGCGAGCTGAATGGGCGGGTCGGGTGCCGGGGGGGGGGGGGGGCACCCGGGGCGCCTCACTCTGAGGAGCTCCGCCCCGCCCCTGCCCCTCACTGCCCCGGGGGTGGGGCCTCACCCGCAGCCGGCGCGTCCCGGGGTGGGGTCTCGGGGTGAGCCCCGGGTGAGGCCCGCCCCCCCCCCGTCCTCGGGCTACTGTGATAAACACATCACAGTGCGCCAGCCACCTCTTACACGCGGCCGGCGCCCTCTCGCGGCAAAAGGGTCGAGCGAGTGGGCAGAGTCGCGATGTCCCTGCGCACCTGGGTGTTCGCCGCCTATATGCTCTATCCTGTGCCAAGACGGACACGTTTTGACAATCAAAATCTACCTCAAAATTTGCGGCCGCTCCTCGAAATTTGCTGATCAAAATTTGCGGTGGCCCGGATCGAAACCTGTACTTTTGGCCAACTCCACCGGCTCGGGGTCTTTTTTGCCTTTTTGGAATCAATGCACAATGGGCACCCCGTGCCAGTTCACTTGACGCCCTGCGCGTGGGCCGCGTCGTCGTCGAGGGTGTCGTCGTAGTCGTGCGCCGCCGCGCCCCTCCGCACAGCGTTCCCGACCTTGCTCCTCGCCTTGCCCTCCGCATACTTCGCGACATGTCTCAGGTACCGCTCCCTCTCGGGCAGGGTGGGCGCGACGTACGGCAGGCTGGTCGCGCGGCTGAGCCACGCCTGGTACCTCTCCCACACGCCCCCCTCGCCCGAGGCGGGCACCGCAAACCCGCGGTAGTGCTCGAGCGCGTACAGCCGGTACGCATACGGCAGCAGCACGCAGTCGACGAGGCCGAGCGAGTCGCCGCCCCAAAAGTGGCCTCGGCTCTCCCGCGTGAAGGCGCGCAGGCCGTCGAGCACCTTTGCGAAGCCGTCCGCCCGCTCCGCCGCGTCGGTGCGGACCAGCGCCTGGTAGTAGCCCGAGGTGACGCTCTTGTTGACCTGCTCCGCCGCGACCCGCGCGGCCGCTCGCTCGAACGGGTCGGTCGGAAGCAGCGGCGGCGCAGTCGAGCCGTTGGCGGCGGCGAGCTCGTCGATGAACTGGATGCATACGATCGACTCGGTCACGGCGCGGTTGGTGGCAGGGTCGAGCAGCGTCGGCACCATGCCCTTTGGGTTGGCCGCCAACAGCGCCGGTGACTTCCAGTGGTACCACCAGTCGCTCCGCTCGGTCGCCTCAAAGTCCTCGTCCCCGGTCGGCGCCCGCTGCTCCCAGCCAAGCGACTCCTCCCACTCGTAGGGAACGGCCTGGCGGTGGTGCTCGAGCGCAAGCGTGGCGCGGTGCGCAAACGGGCAGAACCAGGCCGAAAAGTACCGGAGCGGGGCGGCGGCGGTGGAGGATTGGCCGCGCCGCGAGGTGCGGAGCGTCGTGGCAGCTCGGAGCGTCGTGGCAGCTCGGAGCGTCGTGGCGGCTCGGAGCGTCGTGGCGGCTCGGAGCGTCGTGGCGGCTCGGAGCGTCGTGGCGGCTCGGAGCGTCGTGGCGGCTCGGAGCGTCGTGGCAGCAACGCGTTGCATGCTGGAAGCAGCAGCGCGGCAGTGCAGCTCAGGGTTCCAACTTTTTCCGGGGCATGGTATGGTACTGGCGCCTGCCAGCTCAATCACGGCGCTCAGTCAACGGTATGGCAGGTGGAGTGCTCTCTACTGCCGCGGCGCCCCTGTCGGTTCGGAGGCGCCCGGCGGCCGCGCGCTTGGTGCCGACGTTGACCGGCTGAGGGCCCAACTTGAGCTCTTTTTTGGTGAGGGACCAAAGCGCGAAGGACCACTTTTGGGTTAGGGACCGCGGGCGACAGGTTAGGGACCGATCGCCACCGCTCACGCCAGCGGACGGCCACCATCGGTGTTTTTGGCTTCGCCACCGTCCAAAGCGTGCGCAATGCGCTCGCCGACATCGAGCGAGCTCGCCTCTCCGAGGAGCGGCTTGCTGTGCGGACGCCTTCTTGTGGCTCTCGTCGAGAGCGTTTTGCGTCCCGGCGGGTGGGAGAGCATGTGTCGTTTGATGTGTCACTGTGTACGTCATGTCAGTCTTGATAACAAGTACGGTCGATCCGTCAAAGCGATACACTCGTCACGATCACGTTGGACGGCTTGCACGGAGCTCTGTGCCGGCACACAGGAAGAGCCGACGGCAAGAAGAGCTCGATGGGGAGCGAGAATCGCCAAAGGTGCTCACGGAGGTGTCGGAAGTCCGCCTTGATGCGGTCAGTTCCCCCCAGGTTTGACTGCGTAGGTCGCGGAACTCGTTGAGTACTCGTAGCCTTTCTGCGCCTCCGTCTGCATCGCGTCGGCTGCTCTGCGGCAAGAGCAGTCTTTTCGGAAGATATCGACGATTTTCGAGAGCCACCCGCTTGGGAGCGATTGAGCGCGTCACGGAGGACTCAGGTTCCACCTAAACCTCCTTTGGCGATTCTCGCTCCCCATCGAGCTCTTCTTGCCGTACGGCTCTTCATGGTTGTCGGCACAGAGCTCCGTGCAAGCCGTCCAACGTGATCGTGACGAGTGTATCGCTTTGACGGATCGACCGTACTTGTTATCAAGACTGACATGAGGTACACAGTGACACATCAAACGACACATGCTCTCCCACCCGCCGGGCCGCAAAACGCTCTCGACGAGAGAGCCACAAGAAGCCGTCCACACAGCAGGAGCCGGTCGGTCGAACACGTTGCTCGCTCGATGCCGGCGAGCGCATGTCGCACGAGGTAGACGGTGGTGTAGCTAACATCACTGACGACGGCCGTCCGCTGGCGTGAGCGGCGGCGATCGGTCCCTAACCTGCGGTCCTTCACCGTAATCGGTCCTTCGCCTTCATCCCTAACCCGCAAAAAAGCACGATTCTCAAGTTGGGCCCTCCGGCTGCTCTCGCGGCGCCGAGGCGTGCCGCTTCGGTCACGTCACGTGCGCTGCGAGGTGTCTTTTGGCATGTGCGCGCTTGGCATAGACGCCAGGAAGCTCGCCTTCCTTGCCTGCGGCCGCGGGCGTGCGGGCGGGCACGCCAGGCTCGGCGACGCGCCGCGCGGGTCTTCGTGCTCGCGACCCGCGACGAGCCAGCATGGCTCGTCGCTCGACGGGAGCCTGTCCAGCATGCTCTCGGCACTCTGTACAGCCTCGCCAACTCTCTGGGAGGGTCTACAGGGACAGGGCGGGCCGTCTCGGGCGAGATGGCGCGCTGAATGCTACCATGACTACGAGCTATCCGATCGGGTCGCCGGCGGCGGGCTTGCGCGGCGTGCTGCTCGACGGCAGGCTGCTCTCCAACCTTTCAACAGTGTCTTTTACCTCGCTCCTCTCGCTGCAACCGCCTGCGGGGGCCGGCGCCGGCCGCCTCGCTTCGCCAGTGCTGCCTACGCGAAGTTACTACGCCCACGACACGCGCATGGGCTCGCCGCCCGCGTCGCCTGCGGCGGGCCCGCGGGGCGCGACGCTCGTCGGGAGCGTGCTCAGCAGGCTGTGCAGCGCAGCCTGACTCACTCAGAGCGCCGCTGATGCGGCGTGGGGCCGCCGGCGGGGCTGCTGCCGCGAACGCTGCGCTGAGGGCCTCACCATCGTGTCCTCGCCGCGTCGCCGACGCCACTTGCTGCTCGCGGCTGCCCTGCCCTTCCCTGCCATCGCGCAAACAAACACACACACACACGCACACGCACACACATTATTAATGATCGAGTATTAATTATTATTTGTTAATCATCGGGCGGCGGCGCGGCGGGGCGGCGGGCGGCGCAAGGCGGCGGCGCGGCGAGGCAGCGGGCGACGCAGGGCGGGGCGGCGCGGCGGCGGTTGGTATAATTACTTATTTGTTAATTAATTATTACTTAATAATCATCGGGCGGCGGCGCGGCGGCGGGCGGGGCGGAGCGGGGCGGCGCGACCATCGGCACTGAACGGACCAGCTAGCTGGTCTTTGAGTCAGGGCACGAGGCTGCCGCGGCCAATGCTGGCGTTGGCGTCGGCGCACAACACGAGCACATCACCCGGCTGCCGCAGAGCGATCAGCTGGGCGAGGCCCTCGTAGTACGCGTCGATCTCGGCGGCGGAGTGCGCAGACGTGGGCGCGAGAACTGCTTGCCGCGCGAGCCGCCGCGCACAACGAGCCGCACAGCGATGGAGCGGCCGTCCGGCGAACGAGCCACCGGTTTGCTGCCACCTGCTCGCTGCCGAGCAGCCTCAGCCCGAGGCGAGAGCACGATGCACACGCCCATGCTGCCGCGCCCATGCTGCTGCGCAGGCGCGCTTCCCACGAACGTGTAGCCGTCGCGCACGAATTCCTCGTTGCCGCACCGCCACGTCTCCTGGCCGCACACCGTGAAGGCGTTGCGAACCTGGCTGTAGCCGATCAGCTCGTCCAAGCCGGTATCCGTCTTGATGCCGAGCATGCTCTGAGTTTAGAGCGACTGCAGATCCGAGCGGTACGACTTGCGTTGAGGCATCGCGACAGCAGCTTAGAGGAGGCTGCAGTTGGCGTGCAGCAGAGCACCAGCCGAGGCATCACTTGTACGCTTGCGGAGCCGACCCCACGCTGCACAAAGTGCCACGTGTGGTGACGGCGGTGAGATACGAGGCGCAGATGAAGCACTCGGAAGTTGCACGGCTATGAAGAAAAACAGCCGGCTAAATTTCGGCGCGGCTAAAAAGCAAAGGACGGGCGCTTTTGATCGGCAAAGGAAAGTTGGAGTAACGACGACCGCGTTCGCAATGAAGTCGCCTGTCGAGCAGCTTCCGCGGCGCGCATGCGCCGCGGGGTTGACCGACAGCCGCGCCTTTCGCGCCTCCCGTGCCACGCGCGGCGCCGCGCGCGCCGCGCGCAGCCTCGCCAACGCCGCACACAGAACCAGCAGGCTGCTCACCAAAAAGAAAGAAAGAAAACAGACAACCCAAGGGAGGGATGGGAGGACGGCACGGGGCACGCCGCCACCACACAGGGATTTTAATGCTGCACTTGGAGCACTTGGAGTGCAGTCATCAACCTCACATCCAGGGCCGGGGAGCTGAGGAGCGCACCCAGCGGGCCGGATGATCGGTATCGGGTTACTTACGGGCTAGAGAGCCCTAGCCCCGGGGGTGCGCGTTCGCTGGGCGGAAAGGGCCAAAAATAAAGTAAACACAAGTCTCCGAGGGTTAGCCCCGCGTACCGGGTTTCCCCTTAACTGCAGGACGCCCCCTCTACTCGGAGCTAATGAACCTGAGGGAGGGTGTAGAGGATGTAGAGCGTTGTACCTGTAGAGCTGTAGAGATGTAGAGCGCTGATGATGAGGAGCACTTGCCATGCTACAGCGATGATGAGGAGCACTTGCGGGGGGGCACTTGGAGCGGGAAACTTGGAGCACTTGGAGTGCAGTCAGCAACCGCACATCCGGGGCGAAACTTCTTCTTTTTTGCATCGCCGAGGCAGGGAGGCCGCGCACATTGGTCGCCTCCTGCACATGGAGACCTTGCCTCCGCCGCGGCGTCGCACTCTGTGGGCCGCGGGGCTCCTCTGCGCTGCGGGCTTCGTCTGCGCCGTCGTCCGCATTGGGCCTAGCCGTGACGGCGGCGCGCACATCGAGACGTTTGTGGGCGGCCTCCTGCAGGACAGGGAGAAGGAGTGCCGCCGGTCCGACTGGTGGTTCCGCGGGCCGGTGGACGCGATGGCGCGGGCGGTGGTCGCGGACGTGCCCAACCACCCGCACATCTCGGCGATGCCCTTCAACCTCAAACTTGCCACGACGGTGTCGCCGTTCCTTCCGAAAGTGTACACCGACGTGACCGAGATCGTGTTGCTGGAGACGTCGGTGCGGGAGGTGGACCTGCACGAGTGCCGCACGCCGCTTGACTACCTCAAATTCATGCCGCGGCTGATGCCAGACTCGGGCACTATCGAGCTGAAGGGGCTCGAGGTGATAGGAGAGTGCCACCTCGACACGTCGGGCATGTTTTACATTGGCAAGCATCGGGGCAAGGCGCTCGCGCGCACCTTTGGGAACCTCAGCCTGACCATCGAGTTCGATGGCTTCAACCGCAGCCACGTGACGGACTGCACCGGCCAGTTCGACACCTCCATCTCGTGGCCAGACGACGCAGCCGCCTTCAAGGGGAAGCATGTCTACGCCACTCCGCCGCCCTCGCCGCCGCCCGCGCAGCGGCGCAGCTGGTACAGCCGCTGGTTCGGAGGGGAGGAGGGCCCGAAGGCGAGGGGCCTCCCCTCCGAGCCCGAGCCGGAGCCCGAGCCTGCCGGCTGGAGCCTCGAGGAGAGCAGGGACGAGCTGATCGACCTCGGCATCCCGCTCGCAAAGGCGACGCTGCACCCGCCCCGAGAGCCGTGCTGCAGCCGCCCTAGGGCCGTCCGAGAGCCACCCTGAGGGCTCCCTTTCCGCAAGGGGGGGGGGGGGGGGGGGGCTAGAGTCTTCACACCGGCGGAGCAGAGGGGCGGGAGGAGGAGGACGCCTCCCTACCGCAGCAGCGCCCTCTCCCCTGCCGCAGGTGCTCTGCAACGGGCTCGCCGCCGTCGCCGAGTCGCCGCTCGCGCAGATGATGGAGTTGTCCATCGGCGCGCACACCGACCTGCAGACGCGCGCCTTCGACGCCCTCATCGAGGAGGGGCGTGAGCGCGATGACGGCTATTTCGAGTATCCTGGCATCGTGAACATGATCAACACTGCGCTCGGCTCTGTGCTGCCGGAGACGCGGGAGGCGTTCCAGGCGAGGGGGGGGGGGGGCGCAAGGGGCGGTGTGGGCCGGGAGGGGCGCCCCTCCCCTAGCCCTCGCCCCCCTGGCCCGCAGGCGCAGCACGAGGATATGCTCGCCCGCGTCAACTATGCCCGCTCCGTCCGCGACTCGTCGCTGCAAGGCGCCGCCGACGCCGCCCCCTGCCACCAGGGCATCCGCTACGTCCTCCAGCACGGAGTCGACCTGTTTGCAAATGTCGACCTCGGCTGCAGCCCGCCCCCGTCGCCGCCGCCTTCGCCGCCTTCGCCGCCGCCGCAGCTGCCCGTCCCGCCGTCGCCGCCGCCGCCGTCGCCGTCGCCGCCGCTGCCGCCTAAAGGCCCTCCGACGGGGCTGGCGAGGGCGTTTGGCTGGCTCGACTTCGACCGCGACGGCGAGATCTTCGCTTAGGCCGCTGCCTCCGTTTTGCCGTGAAGGATGCTCTGTCGTCCGCCGTGGTGCATGCGTGCACATGCACATGTCCTACAAGAGCGGCACGCAATGCGTGCTGGACGGGGTGGCATGGGCATCTCATCGCGCATCGTCGGCGAATCGCCTCCCGATAAGCGAAACCGCGCGTCTACTGGATGTGTACTGTTTGTCTCATGTGCTCGAGCCGTCCGCCCGTGTGTGTGGGCTGTGTGGCAGAGAGAGCGGCCACGGCCACAGCTGCTGTGATGAGCTGCCAGCCGTGCCTGAGAGGTATATCGCGTTGCAGCTCGGAGCAGGGATGCCAGTCTTTAGTTACGCTCTCTCTATCGCTCTAGTGAGAGAGTAAGTCCCGCATATCTGATTGAAGGGGCGCCGCGTGAGGGTGAGCGCGCCAGGCGCCGGGGGGCGCCCGGGCCCGCCCTTGCGGCCGCGTCCGACCACCCGCCTCGAGCAGTCACGACCACAGCACACGAGAGTCGAGTCAGCACACAGCAGACCGGTGGGACCGCGCGCTGAGGTCGCGCTCGCGGGTCATCGCACTCGCCAGGTTGCACGTATCCAGAATCCACGCACGTCGCGAACGTCCTCTCGTGCTGTCAGCCTGCCGTACGGCCGAGCAGTGCCGCGCTTGCGGCGCGCGCGCATTGGCTTCACCTTCGGTCTCAGCGCTCGGGCCGGCGCCGGGGGTCATGGCACATGGGGCGACACTCGGGTCGGGCCGGCGCCGGGGGTCATGGCACATGGGGCGACACTCGGGTCACGCTCCGGCCTGGCTCCGGCGCCTCGGGGGGGGCTACAGTGGGCAGTGCGCGAAACCACTTCGCATGGCCACCCGCGACCCCACTTTGGACCGGCGAGCGCACTTGCTCACTTTCCGGACTCAAAAAAAAAGTAGCCCCGCACTCGCAAGCGGCAAGGTCCAAGGTCCAAGGAACTAAAGGTCCAAGGTCCAGACTCCTAAAACTAAAAACAACGACCCCCCATCTACTTCTTCTACTCTGTATTCAGGGGGGGGGGGGGGGGGTAGAACCCCGTAAAGGCAAACTTCCTTGCACGTGGACCAGGGCGGCAGCTCGCCACGTGGCAAAGACACAAGGAAAAAGGACGTACGGCGAGGCCGCACCTTGAGCACGCGTTCATAGCCCCGATACAATGGTCGTCGAGCTTGATGTGCAGTCCAACACGCCGGTGGCGGACGAGGTGCAAGCCACCACGCCCGTGACTGAGCCCACGGCGACCGGCACTCGCAGAAACGGCTTGCGTCGCCTGATCTCCTTTGCGCGGCCAGGGCAGCGCACACCTCGAGGCGCAGACAAAGAGACGGAGGGAGTGACTGTGCCAAAGCTGGACCCGAGTTGCAAAAATCTCCGTACCTCGCTTCGCGGCACGCACGCGCCGCGTGCAGGCTTTGTCCCTCGGCTCCGAGCTTCCTTTGTCCAGGCGCGGCGAAGCCTTCGAGTCTCGATGTGCGGTGGCCCGAGGAGGGGATCAGATGCGACGGAGCGCTGGTCCGTTGAATCGGAGGAGCAGTCTCCGGCCAAATGAGCCCGTGAGGATCGCAGCTGAGACTACGCACGAAACCACGTCGAGAAGGGGATAGCGAATCTCGATCTTCAGCCCGAGGCTACTAACGGAGACTGACGTACAGACCAGATGTGTGAGTGTCACGCTTTCACGGGGAGGGCCACCACGGCCACGCCACACGCACAGGCACATCCGGCCCACAGGGGCACACGCAGAGGCTGGAGGCTACACCGTATTCCGATTGTCAATATCCTGAGAAATATCCATATTGAAAGCTCCAGGTGCTCCAAGAAATATTCCGGTGTGAGCGAACCTCTTCGCTGTTTCAACAACCGAGACATTCCAGCTCCTTGAGGGAGTCGCGGAGGAGGAGGGATGACGGAGGTAGTGTGAGGACAGGCCCCAACAGCCATTGGGACGAACGAGGGCCGCGACGGCGGCTCAAGCGCGGGGGCCGGGCTCCGCCTGGAGGCAGGCGCATCTCGCTTCTCGGCAGGCGGAGATCGTGTGATCAGTGTGCGAACAAGATCCCGCACGGGCGGGGTCCTGTTCCTTTTTAACCATCTCCTAGTAGTCTGTTTTTATTTATTTATTTACCGACATTCCACGACCGCCGGCCCGCGCGGACGGTGCACTCCGCTCGCGCGTTGTGTCGGCAGCGCCGGGGCGCCACCGTGTCCGTGAAACGCGTGTGACAAGCTGACAACTACGCACTGTTCCGCAACCGCGACGGCCACGGCGGCAGCGTGGGTGGCGGAAGGAGGGCACTGCTCGGGTCGTCGGGCGCGTGCAGCATCTCGACGGCGGCGCGGATGCGGCGCACAGACGCTTCGCGAAGCGCCGCCACCTCGAGCACCTCGTGCGGCTCCATCGACGCGACGAGGGCTTTGCGAGCGGCGAGCAGCCGGCGCAAGGCCTGCGGCGAGGGG